ATCTTCTACTCACTTAATCCTCCCAGTTGGTCTGCTTGAGGAACTGAAACTCATAAATTAAGTAACTTTCCCGAAGTCACATGAGGAAAGATGTCATTTCCATCCTTCTCACCATCCTATCTGCTCCAGATACCCACTTTTTCCCCATGTACCTATTTTAATTCCACTGGTGTCCCCCTTAAAGAAACACCCAGAACTAGTTCCAGTGCTCTCTTGTGAGGCTTATCAGCTGAAAGAGCAAAAAACCGGTGGCCTCTCCGCCTTGAGACACTGAAGCCCCTCTCACTGTATCAAATTTTTGGCAGCAGTATTATAAATGGAGACCCTCTGAGGTCATTGTCATTCTATAAAGCCACAGTTGTTGTTTTTCCCCCCTTATGCTGCTGTAAAGGCCACTTATTCCCCTTTTTTTGAGTGCAGCTGAGCACAAGCATTGGACTACATATTTCTTACCTGTTTGAGTCAACTCAACTTCCTGAGGGAAACTGCAGCTCAGTCTTGGCCATGGGCTCCTGCTGCGAGCTGGCTACAGGCCAGACTTTGGCAGTGACGCCAGAGTGGCCAGACTTCTGTGGAATTCAGCATCTCAGGCGGTTCTTGGTGACTGGAGACAGATCCCATGGCAGCCAAACCCCACGGGAATAGCCCTCAGCCTCAACAGATGGATGGCTTGTGGGTGGAGCTAGAGAGTCTCAGCCTAGCAACGGACAGTCCTAGGGGACTCTTCCCCTACCCCTCAGAGTCCCTGGGAAGTCTTCAGTCCACAACCTCTGTGGAGCCAGGAAAGGGTGAAGCTCCCTAGGCGCCAGACAAGGGTGGCCAAGGCATATTCCCAGGCTCCAGCTCAAAGGACTGCCTCTGGGAGCTCTTCCTCTGAAGCTCTTGGAAGGGAACTTTTGGGCTCAGTTCATCCATGTCTTATTTATATATTTCTGAGGCTGAGGAGATCCAGGGCCAGCCTTCATTTGTATGATTACCCCTGTCAGCTCATCCAATGAGTATCTGGAGTTCTACCATTCGAGCTTAATCTATGGGATTTTAAAGGGTCTCCCCCGCCCACCCCGGAATCATAAATTGTCAGGATAGAAGGAACCATAGTGTTCACCTAATCTAGCTCATATTTAGGGAAGGAATATTCTCTACAATATCTTTGTCCTAATTCTCTAGCCTCTGCATGAACATACCCACTTCCCAAGATAGCCTCTTCCACTGATTTTACTATAGAAAGTTCTTCCCATAACTAAAATTCTACCTTTCTGGAGCTTTTGCCCATTGGCCCTGGTTCTGCTCTCTTGTTATATGGTCTTCCATAGCCCTATCTAAAAATAACAATTTTCTTGGAGGAGAACATCTTAAGCTGTTCCTGACCAATGTCTGAGGTGATTGGCAGCCATCAATGGTATGGGGTGAGGCCCCAGGAAAGGAGACTGGCAAGAGCCAGTCTAATGACTCCACAAACTATATGAACTTTACTGTCTTTCATCTGAGTATCCTTCTCAGGCAATGAGAAACCATAACACTGATAGCTTGTCAGGGAGACCAGAGGAGGCTTTACTATCACAACTAAATAAAGTTCTCTGAAGCCTAGGAATAGAGCATTGCAGGGGGTATTCCATCATGGGAGTAAGACTTGGGTAACGACAGAGTTTCAGAGGAAATTCCTCATCAATATCACCATCATCTGTTGCATTTTACTTAGCACCTACTGGGGCCAGATGCTTATAGATACCTAGATAGATGAATAGATAGATGATAGATAGATGATAGATGATAGATATAGATAGATAGATAGATAATCTCACTTAACATCACAGAAACCTTGTGAAAAGAGGTGGGTCCAGAGGGGTGAAATAACTTGCCCAAGGTCACAAAGCTAGTAAATGGCAGATCTGGATTGAATCCAAGGTCTTTGCAGCCCAAAGGCCCAAATTCCTCAGTCACTCTTCTGCCCAATCTTAAAGACTTGCTGCTGGACATCCAGGCAGTAGTGTATGTGTATGTGTGTTGGGGGTGAGGTTGATGTCCAGGCCCAGTCTTAGCATGTCAGAAGCCCAGGTAGAAAGGCCACCCTGTTACCTGTGCAGCCATTATCAAACACTATATTCTGGCCCCAGACTTTACTAGTTGGCAGCCAGGTCAAGAGAAAGAAGAGATCACAGTGGGAAAGAACTCTTGGGCCTAAAGTGCCCCTGGGTTAGGCAGTCTTGATGGAAGCAATTTCTGCTTCTTTGAGACTTGTTTTAACTTTACCTTCTGCATCTGATATACAGGCACATATAGCAGGTCTCAAATTTAATTCCCTAACCTGAGCATTTTCAGAGCTGCTCCCTGGAGTTGATACCAAATACCATATGGTATCATATTACACATACAAAACTTCTATGATTTAACAACATTTCTCTCCTAAAGACTTATACTGTAGTCCTTTTTGGATTTTCGCCATTATTGTACTTCATGTTCATTTATTTAACAAACATTTATTAAGGACCTCTTATATACTCAGCCCTGTGCTTGATGGTGTTGGTAAAATGTTGATAGTCTTGAATTTTCCAAAATATTCCTAATTCCAACTGTTTTAACTTTTTAAATAAATAGTTCCTGTACAGGCCATATATCCCCATTTTTCTTTGAGAACAAGGGGCATTGCATTTGTCAGGAATTAGGGGAAGATGAAGACACGTAGTCTGTGCCCTGAAGGATCTGTCAGTCTTGTTGGGAGCATCATCCCAGTCTTTAGGATCATAACACAGCACTACGAAGACCCTCTTCAGTAGTATGAGTCTTCTAAGTGCTGTTTCAGAATTTCAGAGAAGAGATCACAGTCAAAAGGGGCAGTCAGAAAGGAATATTTCATGGATGAGGTAGAAAGTGACTTAGACATCTAGGATGTATTGGATGGGATTGGTAAAACAGGTGGAAAGGTATTCCTGGAGGGTAACATGGTGTGGCCTAGCCTAGAGAATAAAGAGCAAGGGGTTGTGCCTGGAGGGAGCAGGTGTGTTTAGGACATGAGGGAGAGAGAAGGCTAGGAAGGTCATTTCCAACCATGCTGAAGCAAGTTTTAGATGTCAGCCTGAGGGATATGGTTGTCATCCTTTTGGCAATGGGAAGAAAATGTGAGCATCAGGTTGCCTAGCCTCACAGCCCACCTGCATCAGCCTCTACCGTGTAACCCTGGGCAAATTACCTAACTTAGTTGGGCCTCAGTTTCTTTGTCTAAAGATTAGGGGTGTTGATAATAATAGCATCTACCTCATAGAGGTCCTTTGAGGTTTGCGATACTTTATCAAAATGTCCATCATGTTACCTGTCACATATGCATGTGTTAGCTACACATTATTAGAGCAGTGAAGTGACACAATTAGGGAAGGAGTGTAGGAGGACACTAGGTAGGCACAGAGGGATAGATTGGAGAGAGAGGAGACTAAAGCATGAGGAGACTATTCTGGTGGTAGTAGTAGTAGTAGTAGTAGTAATCTAGTAGTCTGAGCAAGATATAGTACAGGCTTGACCAGCAATGGTCAGGAGAAGGTGGTGAATCTTAGATGTTGAGAGGGAAAAACTGACGGGTCTTGCTGCTGACTGGATGGTATGATCTCTAGCTGGTGTGTTGAGTGTGGGTATTTCAGTGTCAGAGCTCAGACCAAGCACCGTAACATTGCTTGGAAGAAGGAAAGGGGAAGTATTGGTGTGCTTGCTGTGATCTGTGAGAGGGTGGGGACTGTAGATAGAACAGCACCCTCTGATGTGATGGCACGAAGGACATTTCAAAGGTCCCCTGCCTCCTACTGCCCTAATTCCTTTTAGTAGGATAGGTTTAGGCAATGTTGTTAAAGACCATGACACTGGAGAGGGTAACACTTCAGCTGTCCTTGAGTGGTGCTGAAAACAGGCCTTGGTAGGCAGGAGAGGAGAGGAGACTGAGGTGAGGATGGAAGGGCCGTAGGAAATGGGGAACAGGAGAAACAGTTTTCATGTGGGAGTAGGGCTTAGGGGCACGTCACGAGGGAGAGAACCACCGAAAAAGGAAGTGGGAGAATGCTAAAGACATGCTCAGCCCATTTCACAGCCTTGCCCCTGCAACTCCCTCTGTGACATCACCATTGGCACGCTTGGCAACTCGTAGGCTTTATAGAGCATTTCCCTTGTACTGAATTTAAGCTCCAGATGCTCACTGCCTTTAATTCCAATGTTAGACAAACTGAAGTCACATGCATCTTCGATCCTGTCAGGGCATAATCAGAATTATAGCTGGGAGGAGAGGAAGCATGGGAGTGGAGCCATGTTGTTGAATAAAATGTAATTATGCTATTTGAGAAGAAAAAACAGCTTGGCCTTGAGTACTTTTACAAGCATTAACATCTTACTCTTTCCCTCTGGGTAAGGGGGGTTGGGGGGAAACAGATGACTGCCCCCTCCTTCAAGTCCTTCTCTGTGGGAGTTCCAGCATAGCCCAAAGAGTGGATCTGACTCCAGAGCCAGCCAGAGCTGATCCAACCCCAGAGTTAACTCTGCAAGAGAAGTGAGGCAAGTCTGGGCTCATCACCTGGTCCAGCCCCTGCTCTCGGGGCCCCTGGAGTCCCCTAAAGCCCAACCCACTCTCTGGAGTTTGGTGTTGATCCTCCCTTTCCTTCAGGAAGCCAGGCCTGTGAGTACAACGAGGAACTGGACAGCAGGTAGCCACCAGAGAAGAAACCAGGTGCTGTTAGAAGACTCAAAGCTTCTAGACAAAATAAGTCTAAGAGGGAGGGAAATGAAAAGGGGGGTTAGGGGATCACAGACACTGCCTATCAGTGTGGGACTAAGCCCCAGACTGCCTAGACCTGTGCCCCAGCAACACCCAGAGGTTGAGAACCCCTTTGAGGTGTTTCTGGAACAGCAGAAGCCTCTAGGCCAGATCCCATGGTCCCCATCAGATCCCACTGCACTCATGCCACAGGGTTTCTCTTTGGAATCTGTTCAGAGTTTTGTTTTTATCTCTTTTGCATTTTGTCTTCCAGAGTGGAACACTTAAGGATCCGGATTCGAGCAAGACCCCACCTCAGCGGCCAGCCCCCCAAGGTTGTTTACAGTATATTCTCGACTGTAATGGCATTGCAGTAGGGCCAAAACAAGTCCAAGCTTCTTAAAGTGATTGGTAGTTCATTTTTCAAAGCAGAAATTTTAAGCCAAAAACAAACAAGGGAAGAAAGGAAAGCGGGGAGGGGAGCAACAGACCCTCCCATTGGTGCCGTTTCTGCGTTCTTTCAATGCTGACTGGACTGTGTTTTCCTATGCAGTGTCAGCTCCTCTGTCTGGTTGTTTACCTGTTCCTGTTCGTGCTTGTAATGCTCACTTATGTTTCTCTGTATAACTTGTGTTTCCAGGGCTGTTTGTCAACAGTGTACAAAAGAATTGTGCCTCTCCCAAGTCCAGTGTGACTCTATCTTCTGGGTGGTTTGATAGTATTTTTTAAAGCATTACATAATGTGGGGTGAAATAGGACTGGGGGGATGGGCAGGGGAGAAACAAAGACCACAGAAATAAAACCCAACTCCTCTCCTTCTCCGCGCGCCCCCCCCCAGGCTCAGATTAAAGCGCCCCCCACCCCCTGCTTACCTCCATGAGTGTGCTTGGGATCTTCAATGAATTGTGCTTTTTGCTTCCTTTCTGCATGACTAGGGTAAATAGATAGAAGTTTAAGAGATTTTCAAGGTCTAATTTCCATAGCTTCATCCGTTGAATCTGAAGGCATCCACCTTTTTCTCCATTTGCTAAAATTTGGTGCAGTTTGAGTTTATGTGAATAGGCTGGCTGTGCCTGTAGAGCTCTTGTGTTTTTAGTGATGACATGAAATATAAAGAACAAGCTATTTCCAGGAATGTGTTCTGTATTTTACATCCCAGTGTACCTTCTTTTTTATTATTAACTAATTAGCTATGAGATTAGACACAAAAAAAATGGGGCCGCTGATGTGCAATATCAAAGTGAACTTGTGAGTATTTTCTGTGTTGATCTCAGTCCCCCTAAGTTGTTTCTTCTTTGCTGCTGTTTCTGAATTGGCCATATTATGCGCTTCTGTGGTACTGAGGCTGCTTTGTATTCCCCAAAGCCTGACCTATGTACAGAGATGATACTTTAGCAACTGTGGACATAGGATGCAGGAAACTACTGAAAGTCTGAGAAGGAGTCCACCATTCTGCTCTTGGCCTCTCCCTAGGCAATCATGAGACCAAATCAGAAATGTCCCATTTCACAGAGGGGGTATGCTGCCTACAGAACTCTGAGGTGGACTCCTGCTTTCATTTTCAGCTGTAACAAGAGCCCTCCAGAGGCCAGAGAATGAGGAGTGTTATCTTTCCTGGGAAGAACTGTCTCTGATTTTAGCTCGCGTGTGTTTGGGGCAGAGGCTCCACAGCCATGGCTCTCGAAGAAACCTCACCAGTCTGTCCTCTTTGCTCTGACACGCAGTTCCTGGGCAGTGATGAGGCAGTTAATTAAAGCAGGCCTCGGCTTCAGTGCCTCATCTTGCCATCTCCTAGCCAGGTTGGGATGGGCGCTGAGTGGTCATCTCTACCACTGTGGTCCGTGGGAGTTCATGCCAGCAGTTTGCATTTTAAAGAAGTGCTTCTAGCTCTACTGTTACATTCCTCTCACTTCCATACTGATGAATGTTACCATTCTGGATTCCAGGTCTGAGGAGTAGTGTTGATAGTATGATGTATGTGTCAAGGGCACGTGCCCTAGTTTCTTCTTTGGTTGTGGGCAGATTCTGAGGCTACGGGGAAATGCACTGAGTGTGAGTGTTCTCATCTGTGATCCCTCCCTTAGATGGTGATGCTGGTCGATCTGTTGTAAATATATACATATATGCATTTATGCACTTCCAGGTGGGTTGCATAAGAATCAGGTCCTTAAATACCTCCCAATCTGATGAAATGGTAGAAAGGAATAAAGCAACATTTCCCAGAATGGAGGAATACATTTTTATTTTTATTTTTACTTTTGTCCAAGTGGTGAGCTGATGGTGGTGTTGCTTCTCTGCATGTTATCAGTGTGAACATCCAGGTGCTTTTCATGTGACATTTGTGAGCCACAAATACAAAGTTGCCATTTGAATTCAGTCAGGCTCCAGGGTGGTGTTAGCCAAAGTTTCTCAGGTGGGGGAGAAACTGATTAGGGCTCCTACTGCCAAATGCAAGCAGGCAGCGTAACCTGACTATCATGTGCCCTCAGGCAGCATGCTAAGGGACAACTCTGTGGCCTGGGGGACATCCATGTCACAGTATAGGATTGCTGTTCAGGTGTTTTGTACCCATTTCTTTTCTGATGTTGTCCCCTTTTTTTGTACCGATCCAGCTGGGAGAACCTCAGCCAATGCTGGAAGTGTGATTTAAGTACCTCTCTTTTGTGACTCTCTTGTACAGCTTAATGTGCAATAAAGGAAAAGTTATATCTGTCTTCAGTGTTAAGTTGTAAAGTTTCTGGCTATTCAAGCATCTCTGTACAAGTGGGAAAGAACTCAGGTTCCTGGTAGAAGAGGCTGAGCCATCAACCTGCTGTACTTTACAAGAAAAGGCTGATACAGATGAAGCCAAACTTTGGAAGAGGCAAAAACTGGCTAACGTGAAATATGCTGATCTGTCATCTTCATCTTCACTGGTTATCTGATTTGAACTTTGAACTTCAAGTTTTCAATCCAAAATTCCATTTGTGTATTTATTTATGTAAAACTAATTCCGGTATTCATTGGTAATTGATACGGTGGAGTCCATGCCATGTAGTAGGGAGATGGGCTGATAATCATGGGTGCACAGTGGTGTAGATGGATAATTCTGCCCCTCCAGAGGGTATAGGTATTCTGGTGTTTCTAAGATACTAAGTTACAACACAACTCTTAGCTGCTTTTGAGTTTCTATAAGCCTACTCCTTCCAGCCGGCCCATGAATGTGGACGCCGGGAGTAAGACTTGAGAAATTGGATCTCTCAGGCCAATTATGCATCATTCCAACAGTCAGTATGCACTGATGAGGACATCTATTAAGTCAAAAGATGACTAAGGAACCCCCACCCCTTAGCAAAATCTGAGCAATCAGGTATCACACTTACTGCCTGACAACCCCCAGAGGAAGGATGGCCTTTTCCCCCTTCCAGGCCAGCGGATGGTTTTCTGTCTCATGCTGAGAGAATGGTATCCTGGTCCTTTTGGGGGTGGGGGTGGAGGTGGGAGGCTGCTTCTTTGTGGGATGGTGCCCACAACATTCCCAGGGGAGAATAGGGCTTGGGTTTCTGGAGAATTTCACCACACACACCGGGGAGGGAGAGGAGACCCCTGAGGATGGTACTAAGAGGAAAAAGAGCACATGGAAACAGAATATTCCCCCTAGTCATCTGCTTGAGTTAATGTTAAAATGAAGCTCCGGTGGGGCGGTGCTTGGCAGTCAGACACGTGCAGGTCAGGAGCTGGACAGGGCCCAGTTCTGTAAAAACAATGCAAGTCTGTGATCATTAATGACCATAAAGCACACAATACTTTTTGAAGAACTTTCTTGTCCATTAACATCTTTGAAACACTACCTTCTTGAAAGACAACTAAGACTAAGGATTACTTTTTCATAGTTTTATGGTTGTAAACATCAAGGCCCAGAGAAGTTTGCTGACTTGCTCAGGGAGTCACGGGATGGACTGTGTCTTGACTTTCTGATTCCCAGACCTATGCTCTGTACTGCCTTGTACTGCATCTACAGTGTAGAACCTGAGACCTCCTAGTAAACCGTGGGGCACGTTGCCCTCTACCTGAGGAACCTCTGGGGAAGAGGGGTGGGGTCCCTCTGGTCTGGGGGGGGGCCTTCTGTAAAAGAGCTTGCTTCTGATCAGGGCCCCTCATCCCATGGTTTCTTCCTTGTCCTCCTGACGTCTGCTGTGCCTGAGGTGCTGTGTCTCTGAGGAGGTGCAAGTAGTAGCAGTTGTATGAGGGAAACCAGGGGCTGGCTCTGGAGCCCGACAGAGCCTCGGGTGGCTTCTTGTAATAGAGCTTATCCTTTTGGTGATTAACTAATCTCATCCTTTAAGACGTAGGTTCTAATAAGAAGACCCTTTGGTACAGTTAAATTATGAAGTTTTTCTTGTACTGAACCTAGGGGGCCCTGGGCAACCCCAAGGAATGCAACCCCCAGGCAAGGTGATGCCTCCACGCCGGCCTCCCCCTGGACCATCACTGCCACCTTCCTCCTCTTCCTCCTCCTCCTCTTCCTCCACCACCCACGGAGATGCACCCTCCAGCAGCAGCTCCCTGGCAGAGGCCCAGCCACCCCCGGCCGCTCCACCACAGAAGCCCCAGCCTCACCCACAGCTCAAGTAAGAGACAACTCAGCAGCTCCTTCCCCTCCCCTCTTCCTGCCCCTCCTCACAGGCCTTAGGCTCCAGAGCTGCTAGAAAGCACCTTCAATCAGGCTTTCTTCTACCGATATTGTTGTGGGACTTTTTTTGGGTTTTGGTTTTGGGTTATTATTATTATTATTATTATTACTTTTGGTTGGGGCCATGGTTGGGGGTTGATTGGGGAAGGTAGAAAAGAAGGAAGTGAAAGTCTAAGGTCTAGCTAGAAGCTCAAACCCTCCCCTTTCTTCCTGGGGAATGCCAATAAGGCAGAGTCACTGCCCCTTTCCTATTCTTATATTAGCTTAGGGTTTTTTTTTTTTTTTAATCCTGTCTCCCACTCTTTTTTCCATTCCTTTTCTCTGTGTGCGTATGTGTGTTTCTCCCTCTCAAAATTTAAAAAAATAAAAAATCCTCTTTCCTGCCTCTGACTCACAGTTAGGGTGTGCAATCAGCAAGGCTGCCCAGAAGGAAAAGGGGAAGTAGTTAAATCCATTTCAACTTCTTACCTTCAGCTTTGTGAGGAGATTGGTTTCTGGTGTGGTCAACAGAGGAGGGTCCGGATAGATACCCTGAGGAGCTCCATCTTCTTGGGCTTCCTCACTCCCTCCCTAGAAGCCCCCATCACACTGTCCTGCTTCAGAGGAAGAACTGAGGGCCCCTGGAAAACAGTAGAGCTGTACTTGGGATGCACCTGGGTGTGGATGGTGGTCAGTTCTACCCTCTCCTCTAGAACTAGAGCTGCCTCTTTGCACCATCCCCAAACAGACCTCTGTCATCACTATCAGCAGAGACAGCTGTAGCCTTGCAGGGATGGGAGGGACCCATCAGTGCTTTCAGAGTGAGGTGATGGGAATCTTCAGGGAGGGAGAAAAGGAGGCCACTTAGACATGGTCTAGTCATTGCATAGATGAGTGAACTGCTCAGAGAGATTTGATTAATTTTCTTTCTCAAAACTACTCTGCTAGTTAGTGGCAGAGCCAGGATTCAGGCTCAGGTAGTCCAGATATCCACTTTCTCTGGGTCTTCCAGCCCTTGTGACTGGAGGGGCATCACCCAGTCCCGCTCCCCAGCTCTGGCCAGTGGCACATTTCACATCTCACCTGACCCATAACTTCCCCTCAATCCAATTGTTTTCTGCATGCTGACTTTTAAAATCTCTCCTGCCTTCTCATTAGCCACCTCTGGCCCCAGTCTGAGAGCAGATCTTTGGGTTGCCATTGCCTTTGGGCTGAAGTTGTTGAATAGAGCCATCATCTGACAACAAGCAGGAGGCTTATACCTGGTGCCCCTGGCTGTGCATGCAGAGGGGGCCCTCCCTCCCAAAGGCCAGCGTGTTGGGGCCCATCGCCAACCCTAATGGAAGGTAGGGCATCTGTTCAGTCATCACTGCAGGAGATAAACTGCTCCCACTCCTGTAGAAGGGAGTTTCAGAGGCTGCACCCTGAATGTAGGGAAGGGCTGGGAGCCCTAAGACATCAGGAGAAAAGGTCTACAGCCAGAAACCATCAGGAAAGAGACACAGTGAAAGTCAAGGAGATATGGCAGACCACTGGATATGCCAGACCTCGTATTCTCTTCTCAAGTACTGGGCTTGGCCTCCCGTTGACCTTCTTGCCTTCACAGTTCTTCTCTCTGAATCCCGTCTCTCAGGGGAGAGATTGGTTTCTAAAATGTATGTGATTTGGGTTTTTAATTAGAAAACTGCCTAATGTCCTTATGTGCACCAGATATGTATCTCTTCTGCCTCTGGATACCCTGAACGGCATAAACCTCATATTAGGGCTCCTCTGAGGAAGGCTACAAAGAATGGTCATGTCCATTTTAAGAGCGGGTAACTTGAGGCCTTGGTTTATTCCAAGTTTATTTGGAATCAGAGAAAAAGAGCCCAGTATAAAGACCTGAAAAGGCCTGGAGGGCATTTTACCAAACATCTGCACATCACAAATGAGAAACCAAGTCCCAGAGAAGCCCAAGAATGAGTGAAGGGCAGATCCAAGACCCAGGTCTTCTGATGCTGGCTTTACCACTTGACAGTTGATGGAAAAGAGAGTGCAAAGAGTCTATGGTCCCCTGGTTGCTATATTCCATCAGAAGGGAAGGGTGTGAGATTCCTAGATTAGTACTTACCAAGTTGGGACCTCTGAAATGTAGCCTGTGGGCCCTTTAGCATTAAGTATAAGAAACAGCCTTTGAGTCACTCCTCCCTCTTTCCCTTTTCTCTTTTTTCCCCTTCTCCCTCTCTTCCTTCTCTTTTCCCCCTTCTCCCTCTCTCCCACACTGCCCCATCCTTTCCTGTTTTCGCGGCACTGAAGGTGAGGACAATAGCACAGGGGCCTCCCTGGGTCTTGGCAGTACTCCACTGCTGGCTTTCTCCTCCATGACCCTGGTCTCCCTGGGGTGGGAGTGGGGGTTTGGTTGTGTATCCTCATGTCACCGTCTTTCCCTGCCTCAGTGGGAACACCCCCTCTCACGTTCTCTCTGGTTTTTATCTTCAAGCAAGTCGCAGTCCCTGACAAATGCCTTCAGCTTCTCTGAGTCCTCCTTCTTCCGGTCTTCAGCCAATGAGGATGAAGCCAAAGCGGAGACCATCCGGAGCTTGAGGAAGTCCTTTGCCAGCCTCTTTTCAGATTAGCTCTCCAGATACACGAGGGCGCCTAGCCCAACCGGGAAAGGCATCTAAGACATTTGCCAATAGTCAGCCATGCTTGGTGATGTCCCATGACCTTGACGTGTGTGGTCCCTTCCTCTGCTCCGCTGTGCTAAGTGATATTGTGCAGCTCAGAAAAGACCATGTGAAAGTCTCAGGGCAAGTGCCTAACCAGCAAAGGGCACCTGACAGAGAGAATAGAGCTGCTTTCTTGTAGTCCTGAGAGTTTCCTCTGAGGTTATTGTTTGCTGTGAGTGTAGTGGCCTTATTGTGACAGTGTCCTCATGTCTTATTCTTCTTCATGAAACCAGGATTCCCTTCACTGAGGACTCTTGGTAGCTTAACCTAGCTCAGAAGCAGAGCTAAGCATGCCCCCACTTTAATCAGTGCTGCCTGGTTGGGGAGCATATACTTACCCAAAAATGCTCTTGGCTCTAAGTGTTAGGAACCTACCCACACTTGGATCCCTTGTCATACCTGTTTAGCTGTTTAAAACACACCTGCCCAACATAAGAGATTCCTCAACCACTATCATGGTAAAGTACCTCTAGTCTGTTCATACTGGAGAGAACAAGGATCTGCAGTACACCCCACCCCACCTTTTCTCTCCTCCGGAGAGCAGTTCTTATGTGCGTGCTGCAGTGATCTTGAGCTCCAAAGCTGCACTGTAGGGAATGCATGCCACTGTAACAGCAGTATACCAAGTTTTGTGTTCATCTCCAAATAAATGTTAAGACCTTTGGTGTAATAAAAGCAGCAGCATTAACCAGCATTTGATTCAGCCATGAGGTCTCCCTTAGGCCACCCTTTTGGCTGAGAGAGTATATGTGAGGCATACGTATGTGCTTGCAAGTGTAGGGAAGGGAAATGTCTAGGAGAGTGAAGCTGTTTGTGCCAGTATGTTTGTGAATGTATTTATGTGTGAGTGGCGATTTGCAAGTGGTTGAGAGTATGGCTATCCTTTAGATGTCACTTATACTGGGCCTCCTGACATCTGGTGAATATCCCTGCAAGACAACTGAAGTTCCTTTGGTAACTAGCATTTCTACCAATTTTACTGAATTTGTAGCCTTTCTAGTTAGCATAGCACCCTTGTTCCTGTGGCAGCCAAGTTAGACCTACTTGTCTGGTCCATCAAGCTCCTCAGCTAAAGCCACATGGGGTTGCCAATGAGGCTGTACCGACCCACTCTGATGAGTGGTGTCCCACAAGCCTGGCCTCAGGCATCCTAAAGAGGTCTGTGATTGAGAGTGGGCTCTGAGGGACTTCACTCTGGCTTCTTCACAGCTCACACAAGAGTAGGTTCCTGAAGACCACAAGTCCTGTGAAGATAAGCACCACATCTGCACTAATAAATGGAAACCAGTGTATTAACGTTATATCTATATAATTTCCAACACATACCCATCCTAACTCAACAAAATAGCACTCAGCCAAATGCCACTATCTTGCTAACCCTCCTCACACGCAATAGATGCTGAGAGGCCAGAGTGTGAGGTTCTCTGGCACCAGGGTCTCCTTTCTAACTCAGTCCATGATTTCAGGGTTCAAGGATCCAGAACTCTACCTTCTTCTTACACTTAAAAAACAGGAAGTAGAACTTCCCATTGAGTGGCTCCAGGGGTGGAGGGAGTGGCAGCCCCTCCCTCAACAACACACATAACTAGGGAAGGAACTATTAAGCCAAACAAAAAAGTGAGGGACAGGGAACTCCTTATGCTCTAGGGAATTGATCTTCAGGGTTTCTTCTATTTCCACCCAAGAATCTGCCACTTGTGGTCACTTCTGTCCCCCCGATTATAGAAATGTTTAGTAGAATGCATTCATTTCATCAAAAAGCATTTATTGAGCACTTACTATGAGCATAAACATTGTGATGGAGTCAAAAAATGTTTACTAACAGTTTCATAGTGCTTACAAAGTTTCAGGCACCATTCTAAGCACTTAACATATATCAGTTCATTGATATATGTTATATCAAGAATATATATACCAGGAATATACCAAGAATCCTGTATTATAAGTACTAGTACTGTTTTATAAATGAAAAAATGGAGGCACATCAAGATTCAATAACTTGCTTAAATTCACCCAGCTGGCATGCAGTGGAGCTGAGGTTTGAACCCAAATAGTATAGCAGCATAACTCATGGCTTTGACAACTTTGCTATATTATTTTTTATTTAATCTAGCAAAGGAAACAAGATATAATTTTATTAAATTGTACATAATGTAAAAGCAAAATAAGAGATATACACAAAAATTCTTCATCCCTGTATCTTCTTCCTTCCTTTACCTTCTCTCTATCCATTGGTCCCAGGAAGGGAGCAGTGGGAGAAGGTCAGAGAACTTGTAGCAGTGTTGACCCCTTGTCCTAGAACCATGAGTAACATACACAGTGTATCTTATTCTGATTGAATATAGTTCTGGTTCTTAAAAAATTACTCATTCTTCCACATGTGATGTCAGACCAAAAACCACAAATGGCTTATTTAGAAAATGAGTCAGCCAGGAACTGCTAGGGTGACAAAAAGGGGAGGCATTTACCATAGGTCATGTAACACCCTAGTCCAAAGGACACATGGATTCTACTCAACCCTTAGTGATGGGGTGGGGCCAGAGGTGGGGGAGTTCCATTTAGAAACACCCCTCTTGGTACATAATAAAACTTGCCCCAGAGACTGGGAAATTTTCCACTCACATCAATCAATAAATATTTAATGAATATCATGATTTAAAAAATGATCTAAACCTGGGATCTCCCAGGGTTGGTGATAGTCCACTATAGATCTTGAAACCTTCAGTCTGTAGGCTAGTTGTGACCACCCTGCAGCCCTCTAGGCAGCTGATGGGGATTCCCTACCCATATCTTTACACCAGATTAATAGAGATAGAACACCTCATCCCTGCCTCATGGAACTCCCCATCTCCTTGGGTCAAGATTAATTAATTCTGCTTATTTTTTTGTTCATAACTCTTTATTGTATACTTATTAAGTTCAATAAATTTTGTGGGAAGAATATAAAAATGAGTTAAGCGAAGATTCTGCCCTCATAAAGTTTACTGTCCAGTAGGGGAGGTAGCATATATACAAATATAAAGAAGAAAGTGGTCAGTGCTGTGAGACATATGCAGTCAAAATGTTAGTTTGGAAAAAAAAAAAATGAAGCTTGATAGGTATTGGTAAGGCTATGGGAGACAGAACGCTTACACACTGCAAGTGGAAACATATGTTGGTACTACCACTTTGGGGAACAATTTGGCAATATCTAATGCACAAACCCTATGACTCAGTAATTCCATTTCTAGACATTCTCTCTAGAGAATCTCTTTCACATGTACTCAAGAAGGCAAGTAAAAGAATATTAGTCGCAGCACCATTTGTGAAAAATGGAAACAACTAACTGTCTCTCGTGAGGGAATTAGAACATAAATTGTGGTTTACTTATAAATTGGAATACTATATAGAAGTTAAAGAAATAAACAAAAATCTGGGCACCTGGGTGGCTCAGTCAGTTAAGTGTATGCCTCCAACTCAGGTCATGATCCCAGGGTCCTGGTATCAAGCCCCACGCCTGGCTCCCTGCTCAGCGGGGAGTCTACTTCTCCCTCTGCCCCTGGCCCTGCTCATGTGCTCTTTCTCTCCCCCTCTCTCTCTCAAATAAATAAATAAAATCTTTTTTAAAAAAGAAATAAAAATATTTGAGGAATTTAGTTAAATTCAGATAAGGTATGGAAGGAGAACGCATAAGATGAGCCAAAAAAAGAGTCAAAGCAGTAGGTGTTGTGGGAGTGGAACATACTTCTAGATTGGGTGGTCAGAGAAGGGGGCAGCCTACTAGTGAGTTGTGAGCAGCCCACAGAATGAGGAGACATGCCCATTGGGGAAATAGGGTGAGCACACAGAATGCAGTCACTGAATTTTACAGCTGGAGGTTTCATCTAGTTCTGTCTTCTCATTTTACAGTTGAGAAAAACAAGGCCCCCAGCAACTTAAGGAGCTGGCCAAGGTCATGAAGGAAGTTAGTAATAACAGTAAATGAGTCTCAGTCCTAGGTGTCTGATGGACCGTTCAAGACACTGTCCTTCAGGAGATAAATGAATGGGTTTCACTTCCAAGAGCCCTCCAGGGAAGGAGAGGCTTATGGAGCATTTCAGAAGCCAGGAAAGAAATGGGAAGAGACAGTGTTGGGCTACAGGAAGAGCCTGGAATCAAATCTGAGTTTAAATCTTGACTTTGCTAGTTATTAGTTAGTTGTCTTTGATTATAGCTTTTCTGTGTCTCAATTTTCTCATCTGTGAAATGAGAACAATAGTACCTTGCTGAGGAGATTATTTTAAGAATTAAATGAGCTAGGCCTCTTCAGTAAGTGGTGTTGGGAAAACTGGACAGCTACCTGCAAAAGAATGAAACTACATTACTTTCTTACACCATACATAAAAATAAACTCAAAATGGATTAAAGGCTTAAACGTGAGATCTGAAACCATAAAATTCTTAGAAGAAAACAGTCAGTAATTTCTTTGACATCAGCTATTGAAATATTTTTCTAGATATGTCTCCTCTGTCAAGGGAAATGAAACAAAAGCAAAATTAAACAAATGGGACTACACCAAAATAAAAGGCTTCTACACAGCAAAGGAAACCCTCAACAAAACAAAAAGGCAACCTACTGAATGGGAGAAGATATTTGCAAATGATATACCCCATAAGGGATTAATATACAGAATATGTAAAGAACTTACACAACACACACACACACACACACACAAATAATCCAATTAAAAACTGGGCAGAGGATCTGAATAGACACTTTTCCAAAGAAGACATGCGAATGGCCAAAACACATGAGGAGACGCTCAACATCACTAATTATCAGGGGATTGCAAATTAAAACACAATGAAATATCACTTTACACCTGTCAGAACTGCTAAAATCAAAAACACAAGAAATAACAAGTGTTGGCGAGGATCTGGAGAAAAGGG